GGCGGCGCCGGTGGCGTCACGCCTGTATCCTAGCTCTCTGTGAGGCCGCAGGTGGGCGGATTGCTTCGAGGCCCTAACCGAGTCTCAAACCAAGCCTGAAGCAAGAGGGACGACCCGTCTCTACTACTAAATAGCGCACATCAATTAATTGGCGCCAACTGATATACTATAACCCAAAAATTAGCCGGGGCCATGGTGCGCGCTGCTGTAGTCTAGGCTACTCGGAGATGGCTGAGCCAGAAGGAATTGGCTTAAAACCCAGGAGTCTTGAGGTTGCTGTGACAGCGGAGGCCTGAACGCCACAGCCTCCACTCTACGGCCTGGCACAACAAAAGCGAGCAACTCTGTTCTCAAACAAAAAAAAAAAAAAAAATATGGCATAAAATTTAAAAAGTGGCACCCCCGTATAGGGCACGTACCACAGATGGAGCTCACAGGACTGGAAGTTGCTCTGAGTGAGCCAGTGAATGGGTGGTGACTGACCGTGAAGGCCTAGGACATTCCCATAGGCTACACTGAATTTATAAGAAAAATGTTGTCTTTCTTCAATAATCAATAATCTTAGCTGACTATGACTATTTTTTTGAGACAGAGTCTCACTCTGTTGCCTGGGCTAGAGTGCCATGGCATCAGCCTGGCTCACAGCAACCTCAAACTCCTGGGCTCAAGTGATCCTCCTGCCTCAGCCTCCTGAGCAGCTGGGACTATAGGCACATGCCACCATGCCCAGCTAAATTTATATATATATATATAGTTTTTTTTTAGTTGCCCAATTAATTTCTTTCTATTTATAGTAGAGACGGAGTCTCACACTTGCTCAGGCTGGTTTCGAACTCCTGACCTTGAACAATCTGCCCCCCTCAGCCTCCCAGAGTGCTAGGATTACAGGCGTGAGCCATCACATCTGGCCTGTGACTGTTTTACTTTATAAGCTTTATAGTTTTTGACTTTTTGACTCTTTTGTAACAACACTTAGCTTAAAACACACATTGTACAGCTGTACAAAAATATTTTCTTTCTTTATATCCTTATTCTATAAGCTTTTTTCTATTTTTAAATTTATTTATTTATTTTTTTTACTTGTTAAGACTTTTTGTTAAAAACTAAGACACAAACACACACATGACGGCCTAGCCCTACGCAGGGTCAGAATCACCAATATCACTCTTTGACCGCCACATTTCGCCCCACTGGAAGGTCTTCAGGGGCAACGACATCCATGGAGCTGTCATCTCCTAGGATAACAGTGCCTTCTTCTGGATACCTCCCGAAGGACCTGCCTGAGGCTGTTTTACAGTTAGCTTTTATTCTTATTATTATAAGTAGAAGGAACACACTCTAAAATAACAATAAAAAGTATAATATAGTAAACACACAGGCCAGTGACATAGTGGTTTATGATCATTATTAAGGATCGCACACTGTATATAATTATGTTGCTGCACTTTTACACAACTGGCAACAGAGCAGTAGGTTTGTTTACACAGCGTCACCACCAACACACGAGCAATGCGTCGCTACTGAGTTTCCATGGCTACGACTAAGCCAGGCCATAGGATATTTTCAGCTCTGTTATGATCTTACGGGACCACCGGGGTACGTTGGTCTGTCATTGAGCGACGTGTCCTGAGGCAGCGTGTGTGACTCTGCATCCCTGCCATGTGCTCCTCAGAGTCCACCACGTTTCTCCCATTGTCCCGGTGGCATCCTCGAGCGTGGAGGGTCAAGCCCAGAATCACTCGGAGCATTTAGTGGTTCTGTGTCTTCAGTCCTCCTTCAAGAACTGCACGGTCCGGAAGTTACTGGCAGTAATTTTGTAGGATGCCCCTCACCCTGGGATTGTCTGGTGTCTGTCCCCTCAGGTGCTACAAGCTTTCAATTTGTCCCATCCTCGATGGTGCTTACCTTGATCACTTGAAGGTGATGTCTGCCAGGTTTCTTCTCCATTGTGAATATTTGCCCCTTTCCTCTTTGGAATGAGTAAGTATTTCGTGGGCAGACACTTTGAGACTATGTGAACATTCCACTGAGGAACACCAGACTCTCGATGCATTTCCCTACTTACCTACATCTGTGGGCACGCGTGGTCTCCTCTTTGATTCTGTTGCTATTACTATTCTGATGCTCAAATTGTCTCTGATTTTGGCCACTGGAATCTTCTTCAAGCTGGCTCTGTGTCCTAGTGACATGTTCCCATCGTTCTTTAAGCACTTCCTTGTTTTCTGGCAAAACAACATGTTCCGGGCTCGTTTTCTGCTTTCCCTGGCCCAGTGCTGGAATCAGCCATTTCTCCAAGGTGCCCTGGTTCCTTTAGTGGAAAGTTGTATTTAGAAGCCAGGACTTGGGTGCTAGGAGCCTCGCTCAAGCCTTGGGACGGCTCGCTGCTCCAAGCCTTCCCGAGACAGCGGGGCCTGGCTGCACACGTTTCCATTCGTATTTATGGATTTACCTTGACATATTCAAGTCCACCAGGGCACACTGATCACTCTGATTTTTCTTTTTTTTGTTGTTTTTTTTTTGAGACAGGGTCTCACTTTGTTGCCCAGGCTAGAGTGAGTGCCATGGCATCAGCCTAGCTCACAGCAACCTCAAACTCCTGGGCTCAAGCGATCCTCCTGCCTCAGCCTCCCGAGTAGCTGGGACTACAGGCATGCGCCACCATGCCCGGCTAATTTTTTCTATATATATTAGTTGGCCAATGAATTTCTTTCTATTTATAGTAGAGACAGGGTCTCGCTCTTGCTCAGGCTGGTTTCAAACTCCTGACCTCAAGCAATCCGCCCACCTCGGCCTCCCAGAGTGCTAGGATTACAGGCGTGAGTCACCGCGCCCGGCCTGATCACCCTGATTTTCATCCTATACCATGGGATTCATTCTCTGTACACGTATCTCTCCTCTCTGACAATGGGAAACCCGGCTCCCGTTGTCTTTAGTACATTTATTTATTTGATCAGTGTCCCTGTATGTAACCAGTGTCCTAGCTCTGCCACCCATCCCTCCTCCCATGCGGATCCCCTGCTCTCCTCCAACGCTCCAGCCTTGGCTTTCCCGGGATGCCTCCCTCCAGCCCGCTGGGCTCTGACACCCCACACCAGTCGGCATTCTCCCCACTCCCTCTCTGACACTGCTCTGGGGCACCATAGCTTCTCCCTCCCTGGCCATGGTCACCACCTTTGTTCTGCCCCACTTTGTGGCTTCAGGACACGACTGTTGAGAAAGGGAAGGCAAAGAAGGAATGGAATCCCTTATACTTTTTAACCAAAAAGTGCATCCAATGCATAGAGTACCACAAAATAATCATAATGAACCTGATTCAGGTTCCAATCAGGCAGCCCCCCCCGCCCATCACTCTATAAAGGGGCATTGCTGCCCCATTAATGGCTAGGCAGCTTGGGGAAATCCTTTAACCTCACTGAGCCTCAGTTTCCCCAACTGTAAAGTGGGGAAATAACAGCCCTTCCCTCATGTTGATAGTGTGAGACCTCTGTGAGCTAATGGCAGTGGACAGCCCTGGGTAATGGCTCAGTAGATGTGAGCTATGGCAACTACCACGTATTTCTCAGAATCCTAGAAAATGACTCTTTTTTAGAAGGCTGGGCCAGGCTGCTGGGTGGGTGTTCCCCGGGCAGCAGGCTCTGTGGCTCCCAGGCCCTCTTCCTTTTGCAGGCAGGCTTTTGTGTTTGTGTTTTGTTTTTGGCAAGCCTGCAGCGAAGTCTGGGAGGGTTTCCTGGACAGAGGTCCTCGGGTTGCTGCCTTAAGACGTGCAGCCCGGGCCGTGGCTGCCACTGTGTCCCGACCCAGAGCCTCTGCAGGCTGCAGCATGGAGCTTTGGGGGGCCTACCTGCTTCTGTGCCTCTTCTCCCTCCTGGCCCGAGTCACTGCCGAGCCACCAACCGCCAAGGTCAAGAAGGCTGCAAATGTGAAGAAAGGTAAGGAGGGGGACAGGGCCTCTCCCCCTCTTCCAGGGAGCAGGGCACCCTCTCCTTCATTCAATTTCCTCCCGGATGAGTCAGCTAGGGAAGGGAACTTGAGTGAAGTGCCCTCTGGGACCTGGGCTTATAGCAGGGCTGACTGTCAGAACCGTAAGGAGTCCTGACTCTCAGAGTGGGAAAGAACCTTCCAGATCATCTAAACTGTCCTCTGCTCTCCTCCCCACCCTTCCCGAAAATTTTAAAGAAACCAGGTCTTTGGCTTGGCAGTCTGGAGATGCTCGTTATCTCACCAGGGAACACTATACAGGCTGTGCTTTGTGATCTCCCAGCCTCAGTTTTCTCCACTGTAAAATGGGGACAAGTAGGATTTGCTCAAAGGCTTGTCCTGAAGATATTATGACACAAAATATGTAAAGCCAGTGATACTCTTGACGCACGGGAGATAAAAATGTTCAACCTGAAACTAGTGTGCTAGAAGCAGCTCTGCTCTCCTCTGCGGCCTCCGGGGTTTGGGGTGTCCTTGGGTTGCCTTGGCTGCAGCGAGACCTGCCCTTGCAGCCCCGCCTGCAGTGAAGTCACGCCAAGCTGTGTTGGGACAACAGCAGTGGGATGCCATGGCAATGAACCGGGCTGTCAGCCCCTCGGGGATCAGAGACAGAGAGAGAAAGTTGAAGGGGATGAGGGAAGGCTGGGGATTTAGACAGAGAAACAAATGGCCAGGACCAAGAGCACAGAAAAGGGAAGAAAGGGGTGTGGGGGCGGCCCTCAGCCCTCCCTGGGGCTCTTCCATAAATGGGCAGTGGCCCCCCAGGCCAGGAACTAGTGAAGTATGGAAAGGTACGTCAGGGCCATGGAGCCCCACAGGCTGGGACGAAAGAGAGGGCAGGTCTGGGTGCTGGGAGAAGACCATCTCCAAGATTCGGTTTACAAAGTGAACAAAGAAAAGTTCAAAACAGAATGGGTAACTATGTTGACGTTTGCTTTGAAAATGAGATTTGTATAAAAACACCTATTTCCTTGTATATGTATAAAATTTTTCTGGAAAGATCCACAAGAGTTAAGTGACAGTGATTAAGTCTGGGAAGAAAATCTGGGAGACTGGGGGAAGTCTCAGTTGGGAGGGAACTGTTTGGATTTTAAAAAGTTATATGCACATATTACCTTCTATACAATGCTCATTTGAAAAGACAATGTCATGCATGGTTACGTCTGTCAGCATTAGTCAGAATTGCCACCAAGGGACATTCTTTGTAAAGGATGCAGCTCCAAAGACAAATAATGGAGTTTTCAAAAGTGGAAAACAGTTGCCAATTTCTCAAGTTTACCAAAGACTTAGTATGTATGTATTCAGCTATGTGACTCCTGTATTCAAGCGTGTAAGAAAGCAGCGGCTCAGAGTACGTGAGGCCCCGGTCCTCTCCAGCTGTCCCACTCGAGCCCTGGCCCTGAGTGGTCTCCACGGAGGCCCCTGTGGGTCCAGGGCTCGGGAGGCCTGCAGGACAGCGCCAGGGCACCAGTGGGGCGGCCACCCCGCCCTGCCTCTGGCTGAAAGCTCTTCAGTGTTCCGACTCAGCATGGTGTTTCTCCCCTTTCCACCCACCCACACGACAAACACTGTGGAGCTCTTTCTCCACGCAGGGGCCGATATATATGCTGGGGACCACAGCAGAGAAACACGGTCCCTCCTCTTAAGATGCAAGCCACGGTGGCTCTCACTTAGGCATCGGCATCATCTGGGGAACACACTAAAATCCAGGCGCCTGGGTCCTGCCCCTGGAAATGCTGGTTTAGGGGCCTGGGCGGGTCCCAGCGTCTGCCTTTTGCGCAAGTCTCCGGGGACCCCTAGGAGCAGCCAGGCTTGAGAAGCCCAGGGACAGCGTAGCTATAGGACTGGTGCCCATATGTATGGGAGGGGGTCCAGAGGAGGGACAGTCATGCCTGATTGGACCACTTGGTGCCCAGGCCAAGAGCCAGAGAACACACTGGCGGGACTGGCACAGGGAGGGCAGGACAGCGTGTGCTAAGCCCCCATCCTGGCCCCAGAAATGGGTGAGAAGGGGGGACCCCGTGGTACTTTGGGGAGCTCATCTGCTCCTGGGGCCACCTGGCCACATCTGGCCCAGGAGCTTAGGAGGGCAGGATGGCCTCGTAGGGGTCACAGGCCCTTAGAACAGGGACCCAGGGAGACCTGGAGGGCATCCGTCCCAATAACACTCTCTGGGCGTCTGAGGCCGAGCATCTGAGGGGCAGCACAAGGGCCTCCCGGCTCCTAGTACGGGGTAGTGGGGACACCCCTACCTCCACACCATCCTTGGGGTGAGCGTAATGCTGTTAGCCTCTTGCTCCTTGGCCAGCCCCTGGAGAACCCTTTGCACATAAAAGCTTCTTGGTGCAGATTACAAAAGGTACTCTCTCTGAACTGGCAAGTTCTAGAAAGGCACCCCTTTTTCTGTTCTGGCCCAGCCTAGCCAGAGCAAGGCTTAGGAGCTGAACACAGGCCTTCTCTTGCCCCCTCAGCTGATGGTGCAATGCCCAATTTTGCAGTCCGCTTGTGCAGTGCCCAACTCGCACAACCTCACATGGCGCCCTCTGCTGGTGCATCGTGTGCCTGGACACAGAGCTGCTGTGAGCCGACTGAGGCAGAGGCCCTGTGCGGGGCACACATAACCCCAGGCTAGTTGGCCAGCCCCAAATCCTCCCTCTTTTGCCTTGCTCCGTCTGGGTGTTGTCCTCCTCATGCTCGAAAAACTACATCACTGATTTCTGCGTATGCAAGTGCGTGTCTTGCCCGTGAGTCCCCTGCAGTCTCGTGGGCGGACAGAGGCTCTGGCCTCACCCCTCACACGTGTGGACTCTGTGCAGGCCCAGAGCGGCCACAGGCATGCTCCCCGCCCTCCGCCCCAAGCCGAGCGTGGCCTTTCCGGAAGCCCTGGGGTTTTAGGAAACCCGGGGTCCGCCCCCGAGCTGTCCACTTACACACACGCGGAAACAGGTCTCCCCTGCGGCCCGGCGGAACCGGCTGTGTGTGCCGCCACGAAGGTGGCCCTCGCGTCCTAGCTGCGTCATGAGCACCGTGCCAGAGGGCACACGGGAAGGCCGTGCCCAGAGCCGGGCCCGCAGCGGCCACTCCCTAAGAGTAAAAACCCTCGATTCCCTCTGCCCCCGCTTTACGCTTTACTAGCAGCTGTGACGGGCGCACTCTCTGTCGCGTGCTTCCTTCCTCCCCGTCTTCTCCGGAGTCCTCTGAGCCGGGGCTACTAGCCTGCATGTCGCACAGGAGGAAACCGAATGGAGAGAGACCGAGCGGCTTGCCCAGGCCGCCCACGTCTGGGGACCTCCGGGCCCAGGCACGTGCTTGCCCCGGGCTGGCACGACGCCCGGAGGCTGGTCTGTGCCACGCGCCTGCAGCCCGGGGAGTGAAGTGGGGGTGCGGGGCGGATCGAGAGGGCTCCTGCTTCCCGCGCTGCTCCCCTCTGGAGCTGGGAGGGTGGCCGGGTGGCTGGGGGCGGGGGTCACTGAAGGCTCTGGCCCTGCTACGCCCGCCCCAGCTGGTCCCCAGAGACGTGGCTGAACAAATGCACTGCAGGGCTCACTCGAGTGGGAGCAAGTGTGGGCCGGGACCCCCCGCAGCAGGAAACTCTTGAGGGTTAAATGGACCCCCACCAGCAGGGAGAGAGAAAGGGAAAGTGTTTCCCCCTGTCCTCTGTGGCTGCCAGAGGTCCCCCCCCATGCCTGCCCTGCCTCAGTCCCACCTCTGCTGCCTTCCTCACATATTTCCTCCTCTCCCTCCCAGATGTCGTGAGCCCGAAGATGTTTGAGGAGCTCAAGAGCCGGCTGGACAGCCTGGCCCAGGAGGTGGCCCTGCTGAAGGAGCAGCAGGCCCTGCAGACGGGTGAGTGCAGGGTGTGGCCCCTGGGGACCTCCGGCCCTGTGGCCAGCAGCCCCATGTCTCCCGATCTTGGAGACCTTGGAGACTGTGCTGAGGAGGATTTGTCAGCCCCGTCTTAAAGAGGCGGCAGCTGAGGCATAGAGAGTCCTGCACCCCCAAGGGGCGAAGCAGGATTGGAGTGGAAGCAGCCCTGAGCCCCGCCAGGTGTCGGGAGAGCCAGCTCTGCACTCGCCCGCCCGGTGACAGTGCAGGAATCACAGAGCCGCGGGGCCCGGCTGCACAGTCGGGTCACAGCCACAGCCCCCGCACCCGATGACCAGCCTGCCTGGCCGAGAGTCGCCTCTCTCTCCACCATGTCCCCGTCAGATTGTCTCCATTCCCCACACACGTCAGACTCACCCCTACGCGAGCGGGCCCCCCCTGCCCTGGAGGACGCTGGTGATAGCAGTTGACATCACGCGTGGGCGTGCTGCGTGCCCGGCACGGCGCACGTGCTGGATGCCAGCGGCCCGCGCACAGCAGACCTGCGCGGTGGGCTGTCACAACGTCCTCAGTCCCATTTCCCCCCGGGGCGCTGATGTCCCTGCTGACAGCCAGGAGCAGAGCCTCTCTTAGCTCTGCTACGCTGCTTCTTGTCCTCCGCGGAGAATCACGCCGACGCCTCCGTAGCAAATCTACAAACTTCCCTGCATCCTGTCTCTTCTCTGGCCAAGGCCCACCCATCGGCAAGGCCCTCTCCTCCCCTCCTGCCTGCTCAGAAGCCTCCAAGATCCAGATTCTCACTGGGTGGCTTTTGCACACTCCCTCCCACCAGATCCTTTCTTTCAGCATTCACACTGCCCATCCTTTTGTCCTTCTGAAGTGCCACACTCTGCCCCTCCACCACAGGGCCTTTGCACATGCTGTTCTGGCAGCCTGAATTGCTCCCCCAAGGTCCACCTAATGAATGCCTCTAGAGCGACCTTCTCAGGAGTCTCTAATCCCGCCTCTCAATCAGGCTCCTCAGTGATAAGCTCTCACAGGACGATGCTCTTTCCTTTAACACACGTATTGCAGTTTGTGTGGTATACTCAACTCATGTGTTGACCCATGTCTGCTTCCCCCGCCAGCTGCAAGCCCCAGGCTGCACAGGCGTGGTCTTCGCTTTGATGGCCTCTTGTCTGTCGCACGGCACCCTCGCCCAGCAACAGTGCCTGCCGCGTAGCCAACAATAGCTCAGTACATCTTTGTTGACAGGAAGGACCACACATGACTTTGGGACCAGCTTTCTAGCGCGTGCGAGGCGTGAGGGGCAGGGCATCGAGAAACGGGAGCATCATGCCAGAGAGGTTTTTGACTTCAGTATGAAAAACGTCACAGCTGCCTACACAAAAAGTGAGTTCTGCAGTGAGGAAGCGTGTAAGTTTTGTTCAGAAGGCTTCAGCCTCTGCGCTCCGCAAAATCGCGCCCCGACTCA